GCCACTTCCACACAGCCTCCAGGCCGTTCAGCAACGGCCTAGATCAATGTTGCGGGTCCATTAGCCATGGAGATCTTTTGCATCTGCATGCTGCGGTCGGGTCAGAGGTGTTGGTCACGTAAGAACACCAAGTCCTACATTGAGGCCCCATGCAATTCGATAACAATGAGTACTGCGTCCTCGTTACTCTACTGAGCTCCTGTAGTGTGTCAAAGCTACCGTGAAACTCATCGGCGACAGCCCGGGCCTACCTTCAAGATGAAAGCCACTCGCATAGATCAACCATCGTTCTTCTTCAAACAGAATTTGATCACCACCCATAAAACCATACGAGAAAGACCTCCTAACCGACATTACTCATCACCCGAGTCGGTGGGAGGGACAGGCAAAACCTCCTTGAGCTTCTCCCCGCCAAAGACAGGCATCTCCGCCGCAGTAAGCACGACAAACAACCTCGCCACCTCCGTCTCGCTCACATTCCTCCACCCGTGCATCGTGCCTCTCTGCACATACACGTCTCCTCTCTTGAGGACAGCCGTCTCCCCGCTGTCCAGCACCAGCTCCAGTTCCCCCTCGACAAGCACGCCCGTATCCAAGGTCTCGGTCCGGTGCATCGGCGCGCCGGGTCCACCGGGGAAGAAATCAACGACGCGGGCGGCGAGGCCTCCCGGGATGTCGATGCCGATTTCGAGGGGCGGCTTCAAGGTGAGGTGGGTCTTGTAGGCGTTCAGATCGGCGTCTTGGGGGAGTGGAGCGGGGAGGGAGGGGGAGCTGTAGGCCAGGTAGAGGTCTGTTCCTGGGACGGATGCTTTGGGGAGTTCCGGGGCGAGGTCGGTGGTGAGGATTGCTTGGCCTGTGGCATTGTGAGTTGTGACTATGCGTCGAGGGGCCGGGAGGGGCTTGTATGATGGTGTTTGAATGGACATTCTGGGAGACAAGAGGAAGATTTCCGGCTTGGAGGGCTGGTCACTAATGTGATGAAATTGGGATGCAATCGTCTGAATGAAAGTCTGAGCCTTGCTAGAAGGCGTCTTGTCAGCTTGCTTATATACCCAAGCGAGTTCATTTGTTGCTTACTGGCCCTCCTCACTGGCAATCGTTCAGAAAACGATGTAATCGGTCGGCCGGGGAATACTTTTGAAAAAACCGAGGCACCGTGAGAAAACATACCGGAAGCGAACCCCTCTCCAGGATCGATACACCATCTTGCAGAATCTCCTACCGAACCTAGTGACGGAACTACATCTCATTCGTTGTTGATATTCCCAGGGACTGCTTCTCATCCTGTTCTCCAAGCAAAGTACGGCGGAGGATCTAGGCGGGGAAACTTGATTCGTCGCGTGTCACGCGCGGCCTGACGTGGTGGTCGAAACGGCCGAAGATGGGATGGGGGACGTCAGCTTACCTCATGACAAAGATAACTTCGCATGTTGGAGGTCGAGAAGAGCTTAGATGATGGGCAGCGGGAAAGATTACGTGATTCTGACCATAGGGGGAAAAAAAAATACGGTTGCGATGCTGCAGAGCACGGCCATGCGTGTAGGTTTCTTTTCACCTTAGCTATGCTGTTCAGCCGGTATTTCTTTGAGATGCAAGTCATGGTCCTCTATGAAGAGCCAGCGACCATACTTAACTACGTCTACGGTAAGTAGCATTGAGAAGTCTAATATCTGATGTCTTGCGGATTTCAACTGCCTGCTCGTTGAATTGTCAAGGAGATGGAACCCTTGACGTCTTGACTACTTTGCGTAGGTACACCAAAGATTTTGGTTTGCCTACATGTATATCAGCGGACGAAGGATGCCCATGTATCTATCATTTGTTAAGTGAGAAAGCAACAGGTAGCAGTATTTCCTAAGTTCAAGCTTTATTTATGAAAGAAGAGAAAGGGAAACATTCCTGGCTTTCCCGAGCGTTTCCATCCAGTAGTTCCTGCCAGAAGTCCCAATCCATGTCCATCCCCTTGGTTATCCCGGTTATTTCCTCTTCTAACCCTGGCATCGCAACGTCTTGGTTATGTGATGCTAGCTGCTGCACCATGCTAGAGGCATGACCGGCGTCTTGCAGCCAGTCCCGGACTTGGGGGATCTCCTGGGGTGTAGCGGGACCGTTACTGCCTGTACTTACTGTCGACGCTTGTGACTTAGGCTGTGTGTTATGTGCCATGTTCGTCCGCTGGCGCGCAAGCTGCCCTATGCAAGGTGGCTCCAAAGGCAGTTCCATTCCGACGTTCCTTGATGCTGCTATTCTCTGCTGCCAGGCTCGCAACGTCAGATTTCCAAGTGCCCAGTACAACGAGTCGTTCGAATCTGTGATGAAGCAAGGATGGTGTTCGTAGACTTGGTTGATGACATGCCAGGCCACGTCGACGATCTGGCCAGCAGCACGGCCCGATAAGGCACTGATGAGAAGGACAAAGGTCTCGAAAGGGAAGAAGTTGGCGATATGCCACAGGAAGCGTTGAAGAGAGCCGGAGGAATGCGACAGGATGTCGTAGCGAATGACCTCAAGGCTGTTCTCTAACAGCATATCCATCTGCTCTCCATCGAGTTCAGATGTCCCCTCAGGCCGATGATTGGGGTGGTAGACAGATAATCTCAACTGACAGACGGCAGATCGTGCAAGGTACGTCGTCAATAGGTTCAACGGAATATCTGTGTTGATGGCTCGGAGGTACTTTTCCTCAATATGACTCTCAAGTTCGTCAATGGATTTGAGAAATTTGGTCCTTCGTTCGGGCGATGTCGCAAAGTCAAGAAGGCATTTCTGCTCAATCATCCAAACTCCTATCTCAATGCGAACTGAGCAGAACACCATCTCGGTAGTGACAGGAGATGGGCTGGGCAAAGCACTCATTGACGGAACGAGGTAGTCGTCGTTGACGCCTAGAGGTTGCTTCGTGTCTCCGTATAGTTGAATGCCGGGGTTCATAGAGGCTCCCGTGAGCTGCGCTGTGCGACCATCAAGAATCACGATTTGCCACCAAAGCCGCCGTCTCAGCTCAGCTTCGAATGGCGGCAGATCTCTTAGCGAGCTTTCTCGATGAAGACCCATTCTTTGACCCATGCGAGTTGCTAGCCCAGTTAGGAGCCACAAGATGTCGTGATGGCAAAGGTGGCGCAAAGACAGCTAGTAGTCATCAGTTTGGTGACCTCTTTCAGCTGGAAGCGGGTGTGCGACGAACTTACCAGATAGAAAGTGAACGCCTGAAGCACTTTGAGGTTTGTCGATCTCAGAAAATCAACCCTGCTCAGCGCTGCCTCCGTTGCGTAGCAATACCTCGCTAAATGCTTCTCTCTGGGTTCACCAAGCTGGCTTCGGCATTCTTCGTCTGTCAAAGAGACTACTGCAACAAGATAAATCGAGAAAATAAGGGCCTCGGTCGGACCATGTATAGAGTCCGGCTCAGAAAGCCCTTGGATAAGCTCTTGCTGCACTGTCGGCGCGTGGAGTATCTTAGTCAAGGGATGGACGTTGGTGGTGAATACCTGCCAAAGCCGAAATGACTGAATAGCCGAGGGATGCAACATGAATGGAGAGTCCGATTTGTGCCCAAATATCAGGTTGATATTAGTCGTAGGTAGCTCGACCCCGGATAGCATTGGTATGCTGCTTTGGGCAGGACTGGGGTCCTTCTTGCCCATCTACCCAGAATTAGATCACCTCATTCTGAGTCCGAGATATCTATGTAGAAAATTGTTGAACTCACTTCATTCCCCAGACTTGACCATAACTTATTGCTGGTTTGTGAGCGACGTCAGCTACTAGGCTTATATCACGACACTGCTTTCTGGTGGAGAGGATACCTACTCTTCTACATAGCGGCGCTGGTCACCACTGACAACGACCTGGCCGTTGGCGGTGGCTGAACCATTCTGTGATAGGAGCCGCGCTTGCGCTGTGCGACCGGTGTGGGTGTTTGCAGTTTGGACAGAGCGTGGAAGTCGGACACAGTCTTTCCCCGTCTTGATGCAGTACGCACAAGGTGACTGCCCGTTGCATCTTATTTTGCGGTGTTGGCATGGACCACATGAGTGCCCTCTGGTGATCTTGAGTTCAGCCATATGGTTCGAGTTCCAACGTGAAGCAAACCGCGAACGAAATGAAAACTTGGCGTTGTCGATCCGTCTGGGTAGCTTGACTCGCTGTTAGACGGTCCCGAGCAAGATATGGGTATGGAAAAGTCTCTTTCATCTACCTCAGATTGAAGAGAGAGGGCGGAATCCAGAGGATATGTTTGTGTCATCAAGTAAACAACAGCGCAGATGAGACTCAGTTATCAACTGCAGGGAACATGCATTAGCTACATGCCCTGCAGGTGTGCCGCACTAATAAAGTGACAGCGGGAATGAGCATAAGCAGGCTAGAGCCGGTTAGCTGACATCCTGGAGATCCAGAAGCGGTCGTTTGTAAGGATCATACGACTAACTCGATCACTGGCAACAAACCAACAAACCCCTTTGTCCCCGCGCGGGACCGCTCTCAGGGCTGCTGACCGGGGTCCTAGAGCCGTTCGGTCCCGAGCTGAGGTGACCAAGTGCCCGACATCACCACGGGAGTTGGAACTCCATTCAAGTCACTTTCACACCAACTCCTTTCGTACTTGCCCTTGTTCCTGACGTGCCTGGCAAGCTAAGTGAGCGGGAACTAAAGGTCGATCGTTGCCTGTATTCCATGTGCCTGTCTCGGATGGCAGATCAAGTCTTTCTAAGGGCCGACGGCGGGACCGCGATTTTGTCTTTTTCACCCCGCGATGGATCCCCGAAGATGCTGGCACCCCGATACCGAGTGCCGCTCCGCGATGGCATCTCGAGTTCAAGGCATGCTGGGACCCAATTTGCGACTTCTCAGTGAAATGAGATTGCCTTTAAAGATGGAGTGCTCTTACAGGCTTTACGACAGCATCTCTTGTTCTTTCCCAAGCCATTCCCTGCTTTCCCAGAACACAGCCAAATCAGTAATACTCTCACACATATCTTCATTCTTCCAGGTCAAAAACCATGTCGGAGGATCACGAAAAGGTGGGAACACCCGATCGGGCTACCACGGGCACCCCGACCGAGAATCCTTCATCCGAATCAGCAAAGCAAGAGGCCGAGGATGAGTCGCAGTACCCCCACGGGCTGAAGCTCGCCGTCATCATCCTATCAAACATGATTGCCATGTTCCTCGTCGCACTAGACCGCACAATCATCACAACGGCGATCCCACGCATCACAGACGACTTCAAGTCGCTCGGCGATATCAGCTGGTACGCCAGCGCCTATCTCATCACAAGCTCAGCTACGCAACTGCTATGGGGTCGCGTCTTCACCTTTTACTCGACAAAAGTCGTGTACCTCGTCGCCATATTCTTCTTTGAGCTCGGCTCTCTTCTATGCGGCGTCGCGCCCAACTCGGTGGCCTTCATCATCGGCCGGGCCATCGCCGGAGCGGGATCTGCGGGCATATACTCGGGCTCGACCATTCTTATCACGACCGTCACGCCTCTTTCCAAGCGTGCGGGTTATGTCGGCATGATGGGTGCCGTGTTTGGGATCGCCTCAGTGATTGCGCCACTCATCGGAGGAGCATTTACCGATCGCGTCACCTGGAGATGGTGCTTTTACATCAAGTAAGCAACCCTACTGCATTCCTTCTGCATAGTAAGATCAAACGTCGCTAACGCTGTATCTCTATAGTCTTCCTGTGGGAGGAGCGGCTGTAGCCGCCCTGCTTTTCCTCTTCCCGAGCTTCGCTTCAAAGGAACCCACACCGATCAAGCAGCAGATCAAGCAACTCGACCCTTTTGGTAATCTTGTCTTCCTTCCTGGCGTCATATGCTTGATTTTGGCGCTGCAATGGGGCGGAGAAAAGTACCCATGGAACGAGGGCCGCATCATCGCCCTCCTCGTTCTTGCCGGTGTACTTCTCATCATCTTTGTTGGCATTCAAGTCTGGCAGCAGGAGAACGCCACCGTACCCCCTCGCCTGTTCAAGCTGCGGAATGTCTGGCTTGGCACCATCTTTGCATTCTGTCTTGGAGCGGTGCTCATCATTTTCCTGGTTGCCTTGCCGATCTGGTTCCAGGGCATTCGCGGCACAGATGCCGTCACGTCTGGCATCGACACCCTTCCTCTCGTTCTGTCTCTCGTCTTTGGCGCCATCGTATCAGGAGGCGTTATCAATGGCATTGGCTGGTTCAACCCAGTATTTTTCTCATCTGTCATCTTCATGGCCGTCGGCGGCGGTCTCATCTCCACCTTTGTCGTGGACACCCCAACACGCACCTGGATTGGATACCAGATTATTCTTGGACTGGGCATCGGTCAAGGCATGCAACTGGCTAGCCTGGGAGCCCAAGTGGCCCTCGCGCAGAAAGATGTCCCTATTGGCGTGTCGCTCATGTTCTTCGCTCAGTCCCTCGGTGGCTCTGTCCTGGTCTGCGTTGCCCAAGCCGTCTTCAACAACGAGCTGAGGTCAAGACTTGGCGCCTTCTCGGGTCTGGACGTCGATCGGGTAATTGGTGCTGGCGCTACTCAGCTGCGCAACTTCCTCCCTCCTGATATCCTTGGAAACGTCTTGGTCGAATACAATGCGGCACTACGGAGCTATTTCTATGTAGGACTTGCGGCTGCTTGCTTCGCAATACTCCCCGCATTGGGAGTCGAATGGAAGAATGTCAAGGGAAAGGAATTTGTACATTAGAGCCGTCCACTAGGGGCTAAACCAATATCCCTACATAATGATTTGTGAGGACATACCTAGAACAGATCACGATGACTGGTATGCCATATTATTCACTTGACTGAGTACGGGGTTTAAACTTGGAATAATTGACCTCGCCACAGAGAAACATGCAGTCATCCCAAACAACAAGAGAGATAGAGCGAGCGGTAACAATGTGACCAGACTAGATAGGTACAAAACAGTATATAGCCATAATCCTAAGTACCTTAACACATACAATATAACAGTGATCCTATGCATTCATGTTTCCCACACCGTGGTGTGCTCAACCACGACTTGTCAGCGGCACTTGAATTTGACACATTAACATATGATGAACATTCGCGCCCCAATTTTGAATTAGATCAATACATTGTCACCAACAGAACGAAAGAATGAAGGCTGCAATGAACACTATTCACCCGAATATTGCTAACGGTAGGGATGTTGGACATTCTATCTGGACCTAAGCACGAGGGCCTGAAGTCTCTACATCAGTTGCGAGACTATCTCTCGTATAAGGTGACATTCCCGAGGTCCTATTCAACAAGTTCGAAACTCCTCTCACTGAACCGGAATCCGACCGTGTGAATACCTGAAAACATCTTGAGGGTCGACGCTCTTCTTGACGTCCCGTAGTCTTGCCCAATTGCTGCCGTAGCAATCCTCAGCGCGGTCAGTCGACTCCATGAAGCTGACATAGGTAGGGCCAATGCTCTCGCCCGTACTATTGATAGCATTGACAACGCTATCAGTCCATTCGGCGCCAATCCTCTCGGCTGAGGCATCATCGGTGACAGCGTTGATGTGACACATGATGTGTGGCTTGCGAGTCCCGAAAGATGAAGCGGGATTTGGTCTGCTGGCCTTTCCATGCAAGATATTGACACTGATTGTGCATGACGCCTCATCTGGCATCGCCTCACAAACACTGGTCAACTGTGCCAAGGTCTTCTCCGTGAACTTCTCAATGCTCACATGTCGCGTCGACACATACACTGGCTCGCTGATCTGGTCAGATACAGAAGCTTGGAAGTCCTTGTAAGTTGCTAGTTCGGATTAGCGTTAGGTCCTGGTCAAGTAAAGAGCATCATAACAACTCACTCTCGTGGATTGTATCGACGATCACGCTGCCAAGAGCTTGCAGCTTCTGCAGCCACTCTTGGCCTTGGGTTCCTATGGTCTCGGCTTCAGGCCAGATGTAGGTAAGGGCCATACCGAGGCCCCAATCCCCCTTGCTAAATCCCGCTTGCACGCAAAGCTGGTCGGGCACACCGGCGTCCAGTAGATCTTGCAGACCCTTGAGGACTCTAGACGTCTCTTCCCATGGATAGACCATGAAACCGGCTCGGATCTTCGTTATAGGATAGACTTGGACCTTGGTCTCGACGATGATGCCAAGATTTCCGCCGGCCCCTCTCAGGGCCCAGAGAACATCTCCGCTGGCCTCAACAAGGTCACCAGTGGCTGTGACGATCTTGGCGCCAACAATATTATCGACTCCAAGGCCTACATAGTCGCCAAGAGGACCATAGCCACCCCAAGATGCCCAAGACGTCCAGCCAACTTCCGCAGCGAGTCCGTTGGAAGTGCAAAGTCCATGAGAGTCGAGAAATCCAACAAGATTCTTGCTGAGAATGCCCCCGCCCACGGTGACTGTCTTCTTTTCTTCAGCCAAGTCTTGCGAATCGATCTCACGCATGTCAATGGTCACCGAGTCGGCGATGCATCCGCGCCCAAAGACATCATGACCGCCACAGCGTACGCCAAGCGGCACGCCCAGGCTCGAAACGGTCTTTGTGATGGTCTGGATTTGTGAAACCGAGTTTGGCCGGCATATAACGAGTGGTTCTGCCGTAATCAGCCTATTGTAGCCCGCTCGGAGGGATTCGTAGCGAGGAGAGAGGCGGGTATAGAGTTTGAGGTCTGGATTAGCTCTCAATAGTTCCTCGACAACGTGACTGCCGCCTGTTTGAGCATCTTGGACAGGGTCGAATCGGAGGGATTCGTTGCGCCAAGGAGCACAAGCAGAGCTGTAGGTCATTTTGGGCAAGACCTTTGTAAGACTGTCGTGTAATGTCGATCTGCGGATGAATGGAGATTTGATGGTGGCGTCAAAGATGCGGGAGAGCATTGCAGCGTTGTAAAGTTCCAATCGACACTGACCGAAGTGCGATTTCCGGAATAAGTAGCATCATTCTCCTCATACGATGTACATGAACTCGCTTCGGTCGTCAGCGGCCATGTCTCTTCACTGAGACCTGCAGAACTGTCTACCGTGCAGATTCGGGCATCCAATGATCGGACCGACGTGGATCGGCCCGGGGCCGGGGTGGGGCCGGGTAGGTCAAGCCGATCACCAATGGCGTTCGTCCAATCTTGCATCCACGCCCACCTTATGTCGGGTCTACAGATAGCTGAATGTTAGTGGGGAAGGGCCACGGCCGGCCCTGCAGGCTGTCAATAATACATGTATCTAATATTGTTACTGTCAACAAGAATCCTTGATTCCCTGCCAGAGGGATTGACTTTGTGGCCATTGTCTCGTGTTGATTACTTCAGGAAGGTAACATTGATCCTGCAACTTACGCGAGCAGCGTTGGTCTCCACTGGGGCACTTCCAACCGCAGCGGCTGGATTGCTCCTGCTCTGCAGACCGGGAACGCGAGCTTACACACCGGGATGTAAGGTACGATGACCAGTTGGGAGTTAGCTTGGAAGGCAAAGTCTCTTTGAAAGTCTTCCACAGGCTGGGCCAGGTTCTGAGAAGGTACTTCTCAAGTTTCCCAACTCCTCAAGCCTTTTGGACTAAGCAGATAGGCTCATGGTCTCAGCTGTTGCCTGCTTACATGCCTGGCAACCTGCCAAACGCGCTTACACCGATCCACTACATCAGACCACACCCAGAGCCTTATATGATGCCTCCATGATGGATGAAAAGACGATGGGGCCTTCCGATGGGCTCACGAGCCGCTGTTCTCCAGATTCTTAAAACGCATAAGCATTGCTTAGCTATTCTTGGCGCGCTAGCCATAGCCTTAACTGTCAATTTCCTGTTCTGCCCCAAGTCTTTCTCGGAGAAACGAATTGAGAAACGAATTGAGTAACCCTACATATCACAATGAACCCTCGACCTCCTCGTAACAACGCGGCAGAGAGCTACCGCGAGAGTTGCGACAACTGCGCCAAATCCAAAGTACGCTGCGGAAAGGAACAGCCGTGGTGCCAACGATGCATCCGACGGGGCCAAGCCTGCAGCTATAGTCCATCACAACGGACAAGAAAGCGGACTTACTATGCGGCAAATTCTGAAGCTGAAGAACGCACTGCAGCTCTGTCGCTCGCAAACAATGAAACCACTGCTCTTCTTACACCAGGTGATGGCGGCCTGGGTTCGTATACCGATATCGTGGGGCTGTTGACCAGGGGCAGCAGTGCCGAGTTGTTGACACCCGAAAACACAAACTCGTTGTGGATTTCGGAGGGAGCAAAAGACCTGGAAAAGGCAGATGCATTTATTTTCCCAGACGACAGCGGCATTGGCACGTCATCTTTGGGAGACTTGGACGGTAGCGGCACGGCGACTTTCGACTTTACAGCACCGCGACTACCAGGCCTTTCCACAAACCAACAGCAGCATTGTGAGGCCGAGCTCATCTCAACTTTGGCAAAACTCGACCATCCATCTCTGTCATGCCGGGGAGGAGTCAAGTCGGCACAGAACCTCGGGGCCATTCTGACGGCTAGCCGTTTGGCGCTCTCTTGTACGTCCAACACGGTATCTTGTACTTGTACGCCCAATGCCAGCGTCGCCTTGCTCGTCACTGCTACCTTCTTCCGCCTTCTGTCTTGGTACGAAATCGTCCTGCATAACTGTCGGACCCCCGGAGAGGATACCAACAGCAGCGGGCCAGGTAGCAGCGGCAGCGGTGCCGTCAGCGATGGCGCGGGCAGTTCTGTGGCATCCCCACGAGAAGACGACGCCGATGGAGAGTCTTTGCATGAGCGTCCGAACACCTCGTCACGGGGTGCAGCGGATGATTCGAGCTTGTTTGTGCCTCCGATGACAATTGGGCCCTACGAGCTTGACGCAGAGAACCGAGATCGTATGATCGGTCACATTGTGCTAAGCGAGCTGGGCAAGATGGGCCAGCTTCTGGATGGCTTCTCTCAGAAGTTCTGCGGACCTCACTCTGTTACAATGGGGAACGATAGCCGAAGTCAGTTGCATCTGGCATTGGAGATCTTCGTTCGGAACAAACACAGTGTCACAGTCCTGGCGGCGCAGGATATGTTGAAAGAAAAATGAGGTGACTTGTGTCATTCGTTGTATTGATTTACTATAACTGAGTACTTAGTATTGTACTATTCGTGTAGACTGGACTTGCGTATAGCTTCAGATCTGGTGTGCGTGTGAATGGAAACTATTCTATCGTAGAGAGAAGAGCTAAGTAGAACTTAAAGACTTTTGAGGATGATTCCGTTGGAGCTTCTGAAGCCATCGTGTCTGCGATCCGTCATTGGAATCTGCATAGTAGATGTCCTGCAGTTTAGAAGAGGATATGTGAACCGACGCGAACGGATGCACGACCGAGTTGGTGGTCCAACTACATTCGAATTAGGCAATCATCCGAGTGGGGTTGGATAACCCAGCGGTCCCGCGCAGAGCTCGCGACACGATGCTCGGTCCCGACACTCTTGCGTGCAACCAATTTACTGTACGTACTTTATCCAGGATCACCAACACAATGACTCGTCATTCTCTCTCAGACTGTCCACAATAGGCTCTACTATCCTGCTGGAGAAACTTAGAACCTCAAGGAGTAGCTCTTCAGGCATATCAATCCTTCGACCACTGATGTGCCGCGGGCGCGTGGCGCAATTTGGGAGTTTCTTGTCGTTAGTTGTTCCTAGATAGGCACTACCAGCATGTGCTCTGTGGATTTCTCTGCCTAAAGCGGAGAACGCATCACAAACTCGCTTGGTCCCCTCAAGGAATACTCACTTACCCATTATCACGTAAGGTACGTAGCCTGCATGCACGCTGACAGGCGCAACCTGTCAAGGGGAGGTAACAATCCGACTGGTTGTTGGAAGTGAGTGAGACTCAGTGTCTGATGAACTGACAATGTCATACGATCCCCTCCCATTGATCAAAGGCTTTGCCAAAGCTTACTCGAAGGAGTGTTTTCCTTGTAATGACTTGTTCGAAAGCTTTTTGCCGGAAGAAACAAGATTTTGCCAGTAGTGGCGAACGAAGTCCAAACGCTCACGAGGAGTTCGCCATGCCGTGTCGCATGTCCGGCATCTTGACTGGGTCCATGGGTCTCTTGGCTCGTGTCGCCTGCGCTGGCTCTACTCTCCACCTGCAATACCCTCGGCAAGCCGCATCCGAGCAACGCAACTCTACCAATCAACGAGGCACGCATCAAACATGATGAAGTTGGTTGACATTGAATTCCTCGGTAAAGAGCCCTCAGAAAGAAGCCCTTTTGTCGCTCATTGCCCCCTTGGTTGATAGAATTTGCGTGGGAGGCAAATGCAAGTGAGTGAGGCCACCAGTCATTCCCCTCATCCTAGAAATGATACAGCATTACTGAGCGAGAGGCAGGAAACTCATAAGAGATATGCAGTGAGTTAATCTTACGGATCCTCTAGTCAAATCCCGTCAAACGGCTCTGAGTGCAAGAGTATCTCTCATGTCCACTGGTTGTACCTTCTGATACCCATCAGGGTGTTGATCTCGTCGTGATATCTTAATATTCCTCTCTGACTTACCATTAGTTCAGTCAAACCGATGGACAGATTGGCCACTTTTGCCCGACTCATCCACTTTCTGCACCATCTCCCTCGAACTTTATTTGTTCAACCACGGAGTTATAAACTGCCCTGTTTAAACTTTTGAATGAGATTGAGCTAGTTTCCAGTGCCGTGACACTGGGTTTGTCGCAAGGACAGGCCATATCAAGATTGGCTTTCAATTTCGAGTGTGGGTAAATGAGAACTTTTGTGTGTCTCCAGTAAACGGGCAATATTTTCCGTGGCGTCTGGAGAGGTGGGTTTTGAGAACAGGGGCGTCATTTTGGCGTTTACGAAGAAGCTTGACAAGCTGTCTACCTTGTTCCATGCTATTCGAGGTTAGCGTCTAGGGTTGAACTTTGGCATTCCATGTTGACCCTGGTCAAGGAGCCAGTATGTTCGCGTTACATTGCAGAGCTAGCAGTCTGCCAATCAGCTAACAACTGTTATGCGAAGTGCTGGACATCTCTCTAAGCTGAGAAGCTTCAGACGACCCCTTTTTCGGCATTGAACTAACGACCAGGAATTTTTACTAGCTGAACTTGATTTTCTACTGTCTGCGCCTGTGTTAATACTCAGACTTGATTTCGAGTCATGGGACGTGGTCACATCGGTGTCGAGTAATTATTGTGCTTGGCCAGTCACGCCGAACAATATTTGGATGATCAAATATGAACGCAACGAAGCTTTGAGAAGAGAAATCTCATGTATCTCCGTCACTTAGCAGTTCAGCAAAGTGGCTCATTTTTCGGAAGCCGGTCGACAGCCTCTGGTGCCTCACGTAGTGCAATCATTGAGTTCGTGGGGACAGGAAAGTCGGCAGACATGCGTAAGATGTTACTAGGGTAATCCCAGTCCATAGATTACCAAGTGATCAACTAAATTCGAAGGAACGTTCAAAAAATACACGTAATCCTGTTGTAGACTAAATAGACACATCAGCGACCGTTGGACACATTCGCATTTCCTCACTGACGACCTTCTATTAGCCCCCCCGACCTTTCCCCCTGACAGAATCAATTAGGCGCAAGGAGGATACTTTGGGGTGATCGCAAAGCGCGGATGCCTTGCTTCATTTGAAGTGTCCATCCAAGGAAGCTCATAATCCTGAACTAATTGAAGGTTTCGTAAATTGACTTCTTTTTCAGCATCTCTGAGGCTCGGTGTTTGATGAATTTCTAAGTATTTTCTCACGCTACTCCTTTGTTGATATACAGAATCCTGTCCTAACTCTTTATCTACCAATTCTGTATCCTTCCTCGAGCGCTAAGGACCAAACAGCTCACTCATGTATCATTGTGTAGTGTACGCAGTGCGACGTGTAACAGGAGACTATGCTATCTATTGACCATCTATTTTTTAGGAACGATTCAAGAAATCACGCCTTCCACATCAATATATGGCCCTAAGAGATCTACTAGATTTTCAATACTTTTGTCCTGCTGCCAAAGCTTTGCGAACACTTGTCTCGGCCAAGAATCTTGTATCTCCACTACATCGGGAGGAAGAATAAGGGAATCGACCAGATGCACCACGCCGTCCATGGTAAGAATGTCTGACGTGGTCACGTAAATGGACTTATTACTTCCATTCACCTGCAGCAGGGAACTAGGTGAGATGTCGAGATGCCATCGGCCGTCCGTTACTTGGCTTCCAACATTTAGGTTGAGTTTTGGAAGCAATGTCGACAAATTGTACTGCTCATTAAGTTAGCTTCATTCCATAGAAGGGCATGTTCATGCGAGCGTTTTGCTCCTACCTCGTGACGATCTGAAACCGAGAGTTTGCGGAAGTCCACTAATTCAGCCCCACCATGAGGCCAGTACATATCGCTAAACAGCGTGTGGTTGGATATAACGTGGCACTTGAGTAATGCCCGAAGGTATGGTTTCCCCCATGGGCTAAAAAGAAACTTAATGGCTTTGTGCCCGAGTCGATCGAACGCAGCATCAGTTGGAGCAAACAACGTCTGTGATACGTGTGAGTTCGTGTCGTAGACAGTCTCAGCAAGGTTCGTGAGAGAAAACGCCTCACGAAGCCTCGATAGTTGCGGCCGCGTGCGAAGAACATGGGATGTTGAGTTAGGCAGACCTAACACGCCATCAATGTGATGGATGTAACCGTTCAAAGCCCTCGACTGAGCATCTCCTCTAGGAATGTATTTGGCCTCGTGATTCAAGGTGATGTCTTTGCCAGTACGTTGGACACTGATCCGTTGCTTGTAATCAAAGAATATGTCACCGTTGACAAATGAAGAGACAGTTCCTATAGACCCCAGATGCTCGGCAGGCACCGGGCCCGGACCCATGTGGTACCCTGCGATGAATAGCCCAAAGAACGGGGGAGGATCGGGCGGGAAGTAGAAAGACTCGAACGCTTCGTTGACAGGAGCATATACTGTAAACTGAGCTTGTGGGGCAGAGAGCCCTCGTACAATATCGGGGAGCTCTCCTATGATTTTGGCGAAACGAGAAACTCGCTCATCGTTGCTAAGGACCTCCCAAATAGTGAGGTTCGCGTTCGGGTTGGTGGGTGTTGTTGAACCCTGATGGGACGGCGCTGAACTTAAGGATGATGAAGCTCTGTTCCACCTAGATAGAATATACTGTACGATAAGCGGAAGTGAAATGAGGAAGAAAAGAGCTCTGAGAGCCTTGGAAAGCGAGGCCTTCCGCTGTTTAGGTGCTGCGATTGCCATGAGGCCGTTTGAGTTGATGTTCTTTATGGTTTCGCTGTAAAAAAAAGCTTGTGCTGAACTTATTAAAGCCTAGAAGACAGGAATTTCTAGTGATCACTTTGAGGGTCCCATAGCTCTGCGACTTACTTGTTCTGGTTGAGCAGCTGTAGCGATCAGCAAGATATTCGGACCCCGATAAATCGGGGCTTGGCAGATCGGGGCCCGAATGATCGGGGTCGGGACCAGACATCGCCCCTCACGGCTTACACCGCCCCCAAACCGACCAGGTTTGGTGTGATATGTCCTTATCTATCGCATTCCTGAGACGATATCATGATTCCTCTATGCTAGCTCAAGAAGTCGCATCGTGTCTTTCACCGTCAGCTGTCACACAATGCTTTCACCAAAGTTACAGTCGATGCTGCTGGCATGCATTCTATTGCCGTTCGCGGCTGGAGCTCTTTTCCAGAGGGACTGGATTGTTACGTGGGAGGTCGGCGCGCCAAACGGGCAGGAGAGACAGATGATCAAGATCAATGGTCAATTCCCTGGACCACCTATCATTTGCGATGAAGATGACGATATCGAGATTACTGTCCACAACAAGATGCCTTTCAACACGACAGTCCACTGGCATGGCATGATGTAAGTCGAAAACGCCATCATCGCTGTTTTGGCTCATCTGATAAGCATGGATGTTTAGGATGCAGGGGACGCCTTGGTCGGATGGGAGTCCTGGCCTCTCTCAGAAACCGATAGAATCGGGACAAAGCTTCATATATCGATTTAAGGCCTTTCCCGCGGGTACCCATTGGTACCACTCTCATTCAAGAACAACTGTCCTGGATGGTCTGTACGGGCCAATATTTGTTCGGTAAAACATCGACTCATGATGAATAGCATGCTCACCATTGAATCGAAGCTGACACTCATCTCAGACGTAAAAATGATGCTCCAGCGCCATGGCATCTTATTAGTGATACCGTAGCTGACATCGATGCGATGAGCCGAGCTGTGGCGGATCCTCAGATACTGATGATCTCAGATTGGACTCGCTTCATGTCCTGGGAGTATATGGAAGCTGAGGATAGTTCAGGGATGACCATTTTGTAAGTGGGCGGAGACTAAGAGTGATCAATGTTTGAACTGATGAGTGAAAACTCTCAGCTGTTCCGATAGTATTCTTGTGAATGGGAAGGGCAGCCTGTACTGCCCCGGCGTTGACAAGTTGATCAACCTCACTAGCACGTACATGAAGTACGGCTTGTACCCTCGACAGGTAAATGATAAGGGGTATGTATCTCTAACATTTTGTGTAAAGTCCTCAATGCTGATGAGTATCCCAGATGCTTTCCATTCATGAAATCTACCCAGGGCCCATACTTGAGGCAGGGAAAGCCCGAGACGATTCCACTTCACCTCCAACAGGGCTGTGTTCCTTCCGAAGGTGCAAAAGAGATCATAGAAGTTGACCCGGAAGCCGAGTGGGTTAGTCTCAATTTCATCGGTGGCGCAACCTTCAAGACGATTGTGTTTTCTATCGATGAGCATGAGATGTGGGTCTACGAAGTTGACGGTGACTACATCGTCCCTCAGCGAGTAGACACGGTTCACATGTACGCCGGCGAAAGGTACGCTGTCATGATCAAACTCGACAAGCCTGCCAAAGACTACACGATTCGCGTGGCGGATAATGGTTTGACGCAAGTCATATCGGCGTTCGCGACACTCCGGTACAGAGGAGGCACTCAAAGGGAGAAGTCAACAGGAATAATCGACTATGGAGGGCAAAATAGTACCGTCGGCCTGGTCGTCACCACGCTTGATCGCGATCATTTGCCACCATTCCCGCCAAATCCACCCTCACGCAAGGCGGACGCAATGCATGTGCTGCATACACATCGTTGGAAAGTTGCATGGAAGTACACAATGTCCGGCCAGGGCATGTACGAGGAAGATCGTAGCGCATACGAGCCACTGTTGTACGACCCTCACTCGGCCGATGCCATGGATGAGGGACTTGTGATCCGTACCAAGAATGGCAGCTGGGTCGACCTCGTTCTACAGGTAGGCTCTCAGCCTGGGCAACCACAGGAGTTTCCACATATGATGCACAAACATACCGGCAAGACCTGGCAAATCGGCGCTGGCTTGGGCATATGGAATTACTCATCCGTCGACGAAGCGATAGAAGCGGAGCCTCAAAACTTCAACTTGGTGACTCCAAACTGGAGAGATACGTTCGTCACTTCATTCGATGGATCCGCGTGGCTCGTTCTACGATATCAGGTTACGAATCCCGGCCCTTGGCTGTTCCATTGTCATATTGAGACCCACTTGGCCGGCGGCATGGCAGTTGCCATTCTCGACGGCATCGACGCCTGGCCCCAAATACCGCCAGAGTACGGCCCCGATCAGCGGGGATTCTTACCGGGTACTATGCCGGAATTAGAAGGTGGGGAGCATCGTGCATCGATACAGACCGAATGTCCCCTTGGAGGAGCGCCTAGTTCAGTGTCATCTGAGCAGGTAGAGAGCAGTAAGGCGTCCGACAAAACAAGGTGGGAATCATTGGTTCAGGGCTTGATCAAGGTACTACAGATATGGATATCGGATGAAGAGCCTCGTCAAGCTTAGACTGAATTTCGTAAGTTACGCATAGCATGGGTACAACCCTGGGTAATAGCATTGAAGTTTGCTGTCTTGCGCGTTTGAGCATTGGAATATTGGATGAGAAAAGGACCGGCTCGAGACTGCTTGCGGACTATCGGGTTCTCTATCAATTGGCATCCAACTAAAGAGAGAGGTTATCTTTAGATTTTCACGAATTGAGAAAGTTCTAGAAAATGTCTCTCCTCTCGATATCACATGTAATCAAGTTTCTGTCAGTTAGATCTTGAAATTTCCTTTTCGTTATGAATTTGCCGGAGGTGCTTCTGTCTAGACTCTTTTTGATGAAATAGCCCACTCGCAATCTTCTGCATTTATGGGGTCCTTATTCTAAGTTACAATAGCTACCTATTGAAGGCTAGATAGACCAACGGAAATTTGCATCGTAAATTCATGGTGGTTCAAAGAGACCTCAACGCACACATTAAATATCGTTTATCATTGCATGAAGCCGTTGCTTGTCCAAAACAGTAGCCAATTACTTCTACATACACTAACTAGGAGACTTTCTAAACATCTTGGGAGTAGATGAGAGACAACACAATAAAGAAACATCAACTCCAGGCGAGCTTAATCCATCGGCCCAAACCTGGCTTCACGATCGACATTCATGGCGATAATGGCCTCACGCGCGCCCGGCCAGGCTTTTCTTTTTCCAGGGAACAAGCGATACGCATGAGGACTGAGCAACCCATCCATCAGCATGTTGCAGAACTGGCGGTCCCGAATCCAGAAGGACCATCCGTTGAGGTTGTAGCCGAGATGTTCGGGAAGGCCGGTGCCAATGACCTTGTCCACCCATTCCATCCACTCGGACGCCTTGACGATGGAAGGTGTGACAGGGCCCTTCTTCGAAAGCTCGAGGACCCATGCGTGCTGATCATTGACTTGTTTCTCCATCTCAGCAGCAGACGGGAATGCCGAAGCACCTTTCCATAGCTGTGCTACAGCCATGGTAGCCAGGTCAAACATGAAGAACGCAGGGTTCATGAAGGACAAGTGGCCGATGAAAGCCAGACTGCGCGGGTGATCCAGACTGAAGATGTTTTGGTACAATCTTGGGAGTGGGCGTCCGGTGTATCCGTCCGACTTTTCCCAGTCCGTCGTCGTCGCACGGCATGGATCTGCGTGGGGGCCCACAACTGAGTAGTCCACCGTAAAGCCGGTGCACAGCAGAATTGCATCGACCTCGTACCGTTTCCCGTCAGTCGTCTCGACTGTCTTGTCGTCGATGACTCGGGCGATGCCTGGGGTGCTGATGATGGACCCATTTTCAAGACAGGGGATCAGCTCATCATTCACTAGTGGCCGCTGGTTGGTAATAGAAGGGGCAGGATCGAAACCCCATTCCGGCTTGAGATCAAAGATCTCGTGTTCTAGCTTTGAGATGACGCTGTTCATCGTCTTCTCCCAAAGTCCCGGGGTGTATCGATTCATCAAGTTCAAGATGACGTACTTTCGATACGTTCGCACGTGGTCGACTGGCTTGCCTTTAACCCAACGAGGCACCTAAGACATCTATGTATCAGCTATTGATCTCCAAGGAGTTTATCCAAAGGCGATGAGATCAAGAATGCATCGAGCGACTCGGCTTTACTTACAATAACAGCACCATGTCGATGCGAAAGATACACTTGACTGGCAAGCGGCGCCAACTCCGTCGCCATGTCGGCTGCAGTGTTGCCAAATCCAAGAACCATGACTCTTTTGCCGGCAAGGACCTCTGGACTGAACGAAGTCAGTCATGTTTAGTTGGAAATGATGGTGAGAACAAACTTTTTGAACGTCATTGAGTGCTCAACAAAGCCCTTGAATATTTCCATCCCCTCGATCTTAGGCCTCGATGGTTTCTGATCAGCACCCATAGCAAAGACAACCTTGTCAAAGTATTCAAAATGAGGCTCCGGCTCTTCGGGAGTAGACAAAGACAAGCGCCATTGCTGTGTCTTCTCGACAAATGTGGCACCGTGGAAGCTGGTACGTAACCGAGTGTGTTCCATGAGACAAAAATGCTTGGCATAATCTTGCAGGTACTTGTCGATGCCAGCGGCAGGGATGTAGTCCGGAGAGCCTGCATGCAATTCAGTCAGGCCTAGGTACCATTGAAAATCTCCCTTGAGTGGTAATTACTACTTACCCTCGGGGAAGGGAAAGTCGGTAAAGCAGCCTCGTTGCTTGGATCCATTCGAGAGAGTAGCTGTGGGGAAAATCAGAAGTTGTCATTTGAGGCCGCGGCTTGCAGGTCTCAGTTCTGTGGTACATACATCTCATAACAGTGAGCTTCTCTCCTTCGTCAAAATGCCACAGCCCCCCAACGTAGTCATTTCTGTCCAATCCCACGGCCTCGAAGCCTTCTTCCCGAAGATTCTTCAGAGCCACAAGACCCAAGGCGCCTGCGATGTATTAGTTTAGCTTACAGTGCAGGTACGCCATCCTAGAGTATACGAACCAAGGCCGACTACAGCCACCGTAGGAGATGCCATTGTTGTTTGAAAGTAAGTGAGGCTGGGCAGTTTTTCGAAATTGCATTGGCTTGGGCAAGTAAACTTGGTCGCCCCTGATATGGCTTTTTGCAAGCAAAGGTATACAAGGACGAGAAAACCACTGCAACTAATGAAAGCCGTTTCTTAGTGATATTATGCGATAAATAGTAACCCGGCAGCTTGTCTTCGGCGGCAGACATGATATGCGCCAAGTCTTGCTAGGTAAGGTATGCAAGGTACGATTCTGTCGGTACTTAGGCATAGCCCATCGGGTCGGGGTGGGTCTCTCGGTCGGGCCGGGAGCCGGGGATCCTTCTCGGGCCCCGCTCTATCCCGCCCGCGGCTGTGTCTAGGCGCTTTCCTGGAGGATTCCCTACTGTTTATTACGCTTGACTGGCTGAATAGAAATTGAGAATGCATGGTATAGGAAATTCGGTATCTTAGTTGTGGTCAAGTTTCATTCTATCCGACTCATGAAGGGCAAGAGTGTTCTATGAATACGTTTCGAGCCCCATCAGCTTTACCCTTCCCTTGTTCGTTTTCAATAATCTTCTTCTTGTCACTTCGAGAGATTTGACTGTCTGGAGCTCTGGTTCTATTCCCTTTCTTCTCCGAGCAGTAATGGGCTCTATCCCCGCATCCTCCTCTCTGCTCCTGGAGCTTGCGGAAGCCACGCTGGCTTCCGCTAAGCGATTGAATGAAGGACTAGCTGCAGAGGGCCTGCAGCAGCCGTCGTTCGCTGCAGATGGACCAGTCTACGTTGTTCCCAAGACTGCATCTAAAGAGACTCAGGACGCCAAGACTGCCGTCGCAGAGGTGGCTTTCCAACTGTTCCAACTCGTCACTGGTCCCAGTGAGCTGTTGCCCAATATCACGGCTAGCGTATGTGACACTCATTTACAACAAACCGAGTCAAACGTTAATATATGCAATAGTACCACACAATTTTTGCACTTCAGTGGCTCTATCAATTCAACGTGCTGTCTCACGTCCCATTGGAGGGCACCGTGACATACGACACACTTGCATCCAAGGCTCAGGTCCCGGAGTCTCTGCTCAAAGGAGTGGCGCGTATGGTGATGACCAGCAAAATTCTGGCTGAGCCGAAGCCAGGCCATGTCACTCACACGGCCAGCTCTGCCATGTTTCACAAGGTCCCGAACATGCGAGACTGGGCGGGATATATGTTCAGTGCTTCTATTCCAACTGCTGCCGCCATGGTACGTGCAACAGAGAAGTGGCCAGGCAGCATCAAAAAAACAGAAACCGCCTACAATATCGCCTTTAGTCATAGCCTGCCATTCTTTGATCATCTTTCGCAGAGCCCAGAGATGACAACGCAGTTCTCTGGATACATGAAGAGCGTGACTGATGGGCAGGGCATGGACCTTGCTCACCTCGTTAACGGGTTTGACTGGGCTAGCTTGCCAGGAGGGTCTTTGGTGGTCGATGTATGAACTTCTCTTCAATCGATGCCTATCAGTTCCCGACTGACCAAATTTGCAGATCGGTGGATCGACTGGCCACGCCAGTTACGCTGTGGCTGCTGCCTATGATCACCTGAGCTTCGAAGTCCAAGATCTGGGCGCTGTGGTGAATGGCAAGGAAACGACCAAGGTAGCAGACGCCTCTGGATCTATCGGTCGTGTCTCCTTCAAGGCCCATAGCTTCTTTGAGACTCAGCCGACCACTGGCGCAGCTGTATACATGCTGCGCATGATCATACACGACTGGCCAGATTCCGAGGCTACAAGCATTCTCAGCAACCTCGTACCAGCGCTGAAAGCTGGGAAATCAACCCTCCTCATTATGGACACTGTGCTACCATCGCCTGGAGTCCTACCATCTGTGAGGGAGCGAGTCATCAGGACGCGTGATCTGACGATGCGTCAGGTCTTCAACGCTCGTGAGCGAGATCTAGACGACTGGAAAGCTTTGCTGAGAGCCACAGACCCAAGGCTGGAACTAAAGAGCGTGAAACAACCAGAGGGTAGCAATATGAGCTTGCTAGCGATCGGACTGAACCCAAGTTCTTGATCAAAAAATTGTTAGCAAGACGTTTTCAGTTATGTACTAGGCCAAAGGCTGAACAAAGAACAGATTGTATGCAAACGTCGACCGGGCCTGTAGAATGATTCCGGGTTGTACAACTCAAGTCTTGTTTCAATCACGATTCATAAAATCATAATCCGGAAACTTTCCTTACAAAATACCTTATGAGCTGACCGATGTTGAATCCACACGATGTCTAGTGGGCTTCTAGGGGGCAAACAAGCGTTGTTGACGAAGGAGATTGTCGACGGCTTCCAGACGCGATCTTTAAATTATTCGGTTGCGTTACTAATACCTAGTGTGTATTCAGCCGATCTAATGATACAGTGAGTTTCTTGCATTTATACCACACCACACAAGGCTTGACTTTTCACATAGTGAACTTTCTTGTGGAACCAGTATTCAAACTTCAGTCTGGGCTCATCATAAAGCCTTTGAATTCACAAAAAGGCTAATCGAGCGATTCAATCTTTTGCTACGACCCTTCCATCTCTCACGAACTCTTCAAAATAACCGACGGTCATGCTATGAGGAATGAGAAGTCAGTTTCTCAGTCGTATGGTGCAAGAAAAGTGACCATCAGGCCACGGTTACTTACGTTGAGCGTTTGGTATCTGCAAACTTGACGTGATCTGGGGCAACTTCCCGCATGAATTTGGGATCAGACTTCATACGTTTGAAGTCGTCGATGTCCTTGAAAACGAATTGCACAATGGAGTCATACTCTGAAAGCTTTGAGAATTGCGGATCGTATAGCTGAAAGAGCATCGGCCTCGTCTCTTTGGTGTTGTGTGTCTTTTGCCAATTGGTAATCTTTAGCTTCAAGGCATGGCCAAGGAATATCGGGTGCCTACCATGGTGTACCGAAGAATGCCATACTCCTCCATTAAGGGGCTAACTAGCCGTGCGTGTACCTTGGTCATATACCGTCGATACTCCTCCTCATCCAGTGATGGATTTCGGTACGCCGTAATAGTTAGACAAATCAGACTACTCGGCTGGCTCAGCTCGCCGGTGTAGTTGGGGCTTGACGAGATGTCTACGTGAGGAGCCATCTTGTGACTTATCTGCTGCTCCCAGGATGAGTTTGTGGAGATATTCGCACTCGCCAACATGGGCTTATAGCACGTCTCCAGACGAAATTACTCCCCATCGGCCTAATTTATACCCGGCTCGCGATTAGCATTAGCGTTTTTCAGAAAGAAAGAATACAGTAAGGCCTCAAGGGCAGATTTACTAGGCCTAGACTGAGCACATCAGTCAGAGCGGCTTCGTATCGTGCCATGGGTCGGCTTAGTCTTTCCGAGAGATTACCATGCCGAGATAGCATACCCGACCGACTCCTTCGGGCATCGGAGTACCGCAGAACCCTTGGTGTCTCATCCCGACTCACAGCTAAGCTCTTTGGATCAAGACCCGAGCAGGTCGGTCAGATGAATGTATCCGCTCAGGATGAGATACCTAGGCGACTTACAAGAAATCAGTTGCACGACATGATTCGTCATCAATGATTTATTTATCTTCGTGGGTATGTAATCCTGCCCCCATTCGTGGGATATTTCAAAACCTGTCCTTTCCTGTGAAGACCAAAAGCCTACGAGAGACCGCACGCGAACGAGATCCTGTACACACCTTTCAGTCATTTCCTCAACTTTCTCGACAGCATTCAACATTCGTCTGAACTACTCGTCGACATCTAGGTCGGCCTCATTCAAGACAATATGGGTTCTACAAGTATCACAGAATCCTTGTGCGAAATCTTTCTCTTTGGAGATCAGACCGCCAGGTTCGCGCCAGCATTACAAGAACTGCTTTTGAATAAGAGTAGCCCATACCTGACAGCGTTCATCGACCGGGTAAACTTTGCTCTTAAGAAGGAGATTTCTTCCTTGCCGGTCACTGTGCGGCAGTATTTTCCTCCTTTCGTTGATGTTGGAGATCTTGTTTCCAAGTTTCAACAAGGCACAAAGAACCCGACTTTGGAGAGCACTCTTGCGTGCTTTTACCAGCTATGTGCTTTTATACAGTACGTCCGCCACGAAATCTCTAGGAAGCTAGCAAAACATACGACAAATTACTCGATCTCCTCCCTAAAGCTAGGTCTGAACAACAGGTGCTGACATTCTCCGCCCCAGATTCTATGATCGTCAGGGTCGCTCATACCCTCGAGCGGATGTAACTTATGTAGCAGGACTATGTGTCGGCTCTCTTGCAGCCGCAGCAGTGAGCTGCTCGCAGTCTCTGAGTGACTTACTAGCCGCCGGTGTCGACACCGTTCGTGTCGCGTTTCGGCTGGGATTGCGCGTGCTTCACACTGCAAAGCTCTTCGATGCTGCCTCAGTCAAGACAAAAGACTTTTCTAGCTGGTCTGTCGCCGTTGCAGAGTCAGTTTTTCCGAGGACCTCGGCCGAGGATACTCTGAGGAGGTTTAGAGACGATGCAGTAAGTCATCTCCAGACTCCATCCTGATCCTCTCTCAGCAGCTCAAATCACTAATGCTTGGATCAGGGGCTGGCTTCTACATCTGCTCCTTATATTAGCTCATTCTCCCAACACCATCTTACCATCAGCGGCCCTCCCTTTGTGCTTGACAAGTTAGCAAAAGCTCTGTTTGCTTCCCCGAAGGACGCCGTGTCTGTACCTATTCACGCGCCATACCACGCCCCGCATCTTTACACCGAGACTGATATCGACGAGATATTTGTGGCGTCCGGGCCAATCTGCACCTTCCCGTCCCGTATTCCGGTTATCTCTGGGGCAAGCGGCAAAGTCTTGGAGGCTTTACAACTACCCCAACTACTTCGGAGTTGTGTCGACGACATGCTCACTCTTCCATTGAACATCACAACAATCTCAGACTCAGTGGCCAGCGTCCTAGCCGACACAGAAACCACCCACAAAGTCCTCCGCTCTATCGGTTCTAGCCTCGGCACCAGCATCTTGTCGACTTTGGAGCCATCAGTTTCTCGAGGTTGCAGCGTGGATTCCTCCATCGCCAAGCCCACATCGTTGCCATTCCAAAGAGCAGAAAACCCGCCGAGAGTCGCCTCAGGCCGGCCACATGACTCCAAAATTGCAATCGTGGCGATGTCTGGAAGATTTCCCGACGCAGCAAACCTCGACGAGTTCTGGGATGTACTCTATCAGGGCCGTGACGTTCATCGACAGATCCCCGAGGATCGCTTCGATGCCGTAAGTCACCACGATGCAACGGGTCGTCGGAAGAATACCAGCAAAGTCATGAACGGATGCTGGATTGAGGAGCCAGGCTTATTCGATGCCAAGTTCTTCAACATCTCTCCCAAGGAGGCAGAACAATCGGACCCAGGTCAGAGGTTGGCTTTGGAGACGGCTTACGAAGCTCTTGAGATGGCCGGCATAGTCCCAGATCGGACACCATCGACGCAACGAGATCGAGTGGGCGTCTTTTATGGCATGACGAGTGATGATTGGAGAGAAGTCAATAGCGGACAGAATGTCGATACCTACTTTATTCCTGGTAATTCTTCCGGTGCCTATCTGGAAGAGACGTGTGTTTGCTAACACATTCCTACCACAGGTGGCAACCGGGCTTTTACCCCGGGTAGACTGAACTACTTTTTCAAGTTCAGCGGGCCCAGTGCCAGCATCGACACGGCATGCTCATCGAGTCTTACGGCTATTCACATGGCCTGCAATTCTCTTTGGAGAAACGACTGCGATACGGCAATCGCCGGTGGCACCAATGTCATGACTAACCCAGATAATTTTGCCGGCCTGGATCGAGGTCATTTCCTGTCCAGAACAGGTGGGTGCCCAATTCTTAGTCCGACCCGAGACCGGGGAAAAGTACAGAGCATGGCTAATTGATTACCGGCAGGGAACTGCAACACATTCGACGATGGTGCCGACGGCTACTGCCGCGCGGATGGTGTAGGCACTGTTGTCCTAAAAAGGCTCGAAGAAGCCGAGGCAGACAACGATCCTATCCTCGGAGTGATTGCGGGAGCATACACGAATCACTCTGCCGAAGCGGTGTCCATCACAAGACCTCATGCAGGAGCCCAAGAATACATCTTTTCCAAGCTCCTCCGAGAGTCAGGAATCGACCCATACGATGTCAGCTACGTCGAGATGCACGGCACAGGGACGCAAGCCGGTGACGCGACCGAGATGTCGTCTGTCTTGAAGACTTTCGCTCCGACGAGTGGTCGAGGCGGTCGCTCTCCTGACCAGAGCCTGCATCTTGGGTCAGCTAAAGCCAATGTCGGACACGCAGAGTCTGCATCTGGCGTGGTGGCACTAATCAAGACGTTGCTCATGTTGCAGAACAGTACTATTCCACCCCACTGCGGCATCAAGACAAAGATCAACCACCATTTCCCGACCGACCTTGCGGAACGTAATGTCCACATTGCGAAAGCTGCCACGCCCTGGAACCGTCCGGCTGGGGGAAAGGGTATCCGTCGTTCTTTTGTCAATAACTTCTCCGCAGCAGGAGGCAACTCGGCTTTACTTCTCGAGGATGCACCAATCTCACTTGCCGATGACCGGGGTCTCGCTGACCCTCGGACTACGCATGTCGTTGCGATTTCAGCCCGGTCGGTTGGCTCGCTGAAGAGGAACCTCGAAAACCTCAAGATATTTGTTGAGCAGGCACAAGTAGAGAAGAACTCCGAATTCCTGACCAAGCTTTCGTATACGACCACGGCAAGGCGCATCCACCATCATTTCCGTATAGCATTGAGCGCTCAGACAACAGAGCAACTACTACATAAGCTCGACGCAGCAATTCGACGTCAAGAGGTGAAGAGAACGCCAGTCGCACTTCCTTCAGTCGGCTTCGTCTTCAGCGGCCAAGGAGCGCAGTACAGCGGAATGGGCAAAGAGTACTTCAACTCTTTCTCTCTCCTCCGGTCAGAAATCCAATCCTATGACCGTATCGGCCAATCTCAAGGGTTCCCCTCGATTTTGCCGCTCATCACCGGAGAGGCAGAGGTCGAGTCTTCGAGCCCCGTCGAGATCCAGCTGAGCTTGGCTTGCCTACAGATGGCTCTAGCGAAGCTGTGGAAATCCTTTGGCATTGAGGCAAGCTTCGTTTTGGGGCACAGTCTCGGACACTATGCCGCGCTCAATGTTGCTGGTGTTCTCTCAGCCAGCGATACCATCTACCTCACGGGCACGAGAGCGCAGCTGCTTCTCGACAACTGCGAGGCAGGCAGCCACGCAATGCTCGCGGTTCGAGCATCGGTTTTGCAGATCCGACAGTTTTTGAACGCCAACATTCACGAGGTGGCCTGCATCAATGGGCCACGAGAGGTCGTCATCAGTGGCAAGGTCGCCGATATCAATCAGCTGGCCGAGCGCCTTGCAGCGGACAACATCAAGGCAACCCGCGTTCAGGTTCCTTATGCTTTCCACTCTGCTCAGGTGGATCCTATCCTCTCCGACCTCGATGTAGCGGCCTCCCGAGTGATCTTCCACTCTCCGCAGATCCCTGTGCTCTGCGCCCTTGAGGCTTCCATCTTTCGCCCTGGAGATCATGGTTCCATAGGCCCACTCCACATACAGCGCCACTGCCGCGAGACAGTCAATTTCGAAGGGGCTTTGAAGGTTGCAGAGCGCGAGGGCTTGATTAGCGCCAGTGGAAGCACCCTGTGGATTGAGATAGGACCTCACACCGTCTGCTCTACTTTCTTGAAGGCAAGTCTGGGACAAAACACTTTGGCGATCCCCTCCCTCCGTCGTACGGAAGATCCCTGGCGGGTGCTTTCTGATGGCCTCGGCAACTTATACAACGCGGGGCTAGCTGTTGACTGGAACGAATATCACCGAGATTTCCCAGCATGTCACCAAGTCTTGCGGCTTCCTTCCTACAGCTGGGATCACAAGAACTACTGGATTCAATATGTTCACGATTGGTCACTCACGAAGGGTGACGCCCCAACCTCAACGCACAACCCAGTCACGGCATCCTCAATCTCCACCCTTTCGACCCCTTCTGTTCAAAAGATTGTGCGGGAGACTCTTCGTGACCAGGACTTGACGCTTCTAGCCGAGTCAGATCTTGCTAGTCCTTTGCTGGCTGAGATTGCCCATGGCCATCTCGTCAATGGCGTCAAAGTCTGCACTTCCTCTCTCTATGCTGACGTTGGCCTTACCCTGGGCAACTACATCCTCAAACAGCACCGTTCAGACTTGGTGGGCTACGCAGTCAATGTTCATCACATGCAAGTCTACAAGCCTCTCATTCTCAAAGAAGATGCTAGCGGCACATCTCTTCCCACGCCGTTCTGTATTGAGGTGAAGTATCGAATCGACACCTTGACAGCGTCCATGACAATCCGAAGCGGTGGCTCTCATCACGATGGACTCGGCACAAAGCATGTCGACTGCGAGCTGCGCTTCGAGAACCCCAAAGACTGGGAAGCGGAATGGGATCGCCAGGCCTACTTGATCAAACGCAGTATCGAGTATCTCGAGAGCCGAGCGACCCAGGGACTGGACAGCACACTCGCGACGGGTATGATCTACAAGGTCTTTTCCTCGCTGGTCGACTACCAACAAGATGGCTTCAAGGGATTACGGGAAGTCGTTTTGCACAGTGAAGACCTCGAGGGTACAGCCAAAGTCCGGTTCCGCGGCCCTCGTGGGGGCTTCTACTGCAACCCTTTGTGGATTGACAGTTGCGGCCAGACGACTGGGTTCCTTATGAACTGCCACCAGACCACACCGCGCGACTACGTCTATGTGAACCATGGATGGAAGTCTATGAAGCTGGCCAAAGACTTTCAAGAGGGCACCACCTACCGGACCTACATTCATATGAGGCCTGTCGATGGCACCAAGTATGCTGGCGATTTGTATATTTTGGATGAAAACAGCACCGTCATCGGTGTGTACGGCGATATTACGGTAAGCCTTTTCTTCTTTGACCACAATCTACCGTTGATCCTCGTCCTGACGTGCATATCCAACAGTTCCAAGGTCTTCCGCGGCGCGTTCTCAACACCGTGCTACCTCCACCTGGAGCTACACCTCCAGAAGCACTTCGAGGCCATCGAGAAAGACCACAGCCATCCCAGATACACCACCCTTCTTCGGAAGCACCAGGAGACAGACCCGTTTCATCTCGTCCTGCGGTCGGTGGCATCTCTCTGCCACCGCCAGCAGCAGAAAATGATACATCGTCCCAACTGAGGCCCCTCCTTCGCATCCTGTCAGAGGAAATCGGACTCTCCCTCAGCGACCTCAACGACGACGACCTAGATTTTGCAGACCACGGCGTCGACTCACTGCTATCCCTAACCCTCACAGGCCGCATGCGCGAGGACCTTGGCATCGACGTGGACTCCTCCGCCTTCATAATGTGCCCGACACTCGGCCAGCTCAAGAAATTCTTGGGGTTCACCATCAGCCAAACGAGCAGCAGCAGCAGTAGCAGCAATAGCGGGACCAGCGCTGCCGGCAGCCCCCCGACCGAAAGCGAACCAGACACATCATCCACCACCCTCCCCAGCGACGGCGAGGACAGCAAGATTGACAGTGACGAGTACAAAGACATCAAACGCGCACCTCCGTATGCCCCCAGTCTACTACACCACTTCCGAGCCACCTCGACACTTCTCCAAGGCAACCCGAAACGAGCGCGCTCAACGCTCTTCCTGCTCCCCGACGGCTCCGGCTCCGCCACCTCATACGCCTCACTCCCGCCCATTTCCCCAAACGGCGACATCGCCGTCTACGGCCTCAACTGTCCCTGGCTCAAGGATGCTCAACACCTGGTCGAATTCGGCCTCCGCGGCCTAGCCGAGCTCTACGTGTCCGAGATCCTGCGACGGCAGCCGCGGGGGCCGTATGACCTCGGAGGATGGTCCGCCGGCGGCATCTGTGCGTACGAAGTATCCCTCATGCTCACCAGAGCCGGCCATCGCGTCGACCGGCTCGTCTTGATCGACTCGCCCAGCCCCATCGGGTTGGAAAAGCTGCCGCCCCGGTTATACGACTTCCTCGACGCCCAAAACGTTTTCGGCTCGGAGAACCCCCACGGCGCAGCAGGGGGGGGAGGTAGCAAGGCGCCCGAGTGGCTTTTAGCGCACTTTTTGGCGTTTGTGGAAGCGCTCGACAATTACGTCGCTGTGCCCTGGGAGACGGCTCTCAGGGGCTTCAAAGTTGGCAAGGGCCTAGAGAACCTTCTGCCTCTGCCGCCGCGAGCCTATCTGCTGTGGGCCGAGGACGGTGTCTGCAAGAATCCCGAGGATCCTCGCCCGGAATACAGTGATGACGACCCTCGTGAGATGAGATGGCTCTTGGAGAATAGGACCAGTTTTGGGCCAAATGGGTGGGAGGCCATACTTGGGGGCGAAGACAATACCTTTGTTAATCGTATCTCTGGGGCGAATCATTTCACGATGTTGAAGAGAGGCCGGAATGCGGGCCTGGTTGCTGAGTTTCTTGCCAGGGCTTTTGCATAGTTGAGTGAGTAACATGTAGAATTACCGGTTCTCTTCCTCTTGTTAATCTGCCTGGGAGTCCGTTGTTTCACAGTAATCTACCAAACCTCACTTTCTCAACCCGCCATCCGTCTATGAGCTTCATCCAGCAGCTCGCGTCTCGTCTCCTAGTCGAGCGCTTCAAAGTGGACGTCCGCCGGCCTCGCCCTATCCGCAATCTTCTTCTCAAGCTCCTCGACATGAGCATCAATCTTGGAAAACTGCCACGGCCAGTTGACGACATACAAGAACGGACGGAGGTCGTGACGATTATCATCGGGGTTGTACGCCGAGAGATGCGGCGAGGGCGTAAGGATGACGGCCTTGTGGCGGTTCATCGAGTAGAAGCGGAAGAACCTCTTGACGCGCTCGCCAATCTCGCGGGGACCGTAGCCCGGCCTCTCCTTCCAATCTCCGAGGAGACGAAGGTACGTTGACCACGGGCCGAGCTTGTGCACCTTTCTCAGGATACCAAATTTGGAGAGTTCGCTGCAAGAATGATCAATGTTTGAAGCCATGACTGGAAACGTCTTGTGTCCTCACCTGTATGTCAGGCCCATCTCGGTGTCTGCCTCATCATCCTGGACTCCGGCAGAGAGGGGAAGAAGCTCTGCTGACGGTGTAGCCTCAAGGAATTCGGACATGATGGGCAAGTCCCACTGATCCCTGGCCCAAGCTTGGAAGTTCTTGGCGTCCGTCTTGGAAATACTCCCTAGTGGCGCGATATCTGCGGACGATGCGTCGCTGGTACTGGTAAGCTCAATGTGCTCTAGACGGAGGCACGTGGGGTTTAAGGCTTACTATTTGGTGTAATAGCCGCGCAGATTCTCGTCGACATTGCCACTGCCCAAGACAAGAAGCGCTGCGCCAGCTCTTGGGAGTTGTCTCGCGGTCGTGGATAACTGCGCCAGCTCATACTGGACAACGAGGCGGTTTCTCGCCTGAATGTTTTGACGCGCAAGCTAGATCCACTGTCAGAACCTCGTACAATCTTCACACCCATCTTTCCGGGAAGTCACTTACATTCTCGGCGGGACTACCGCCTTCGACACCGTACCGGGGTTTGAAGTTGAGCGTCTTCTCAATGATAGCCTCATGGGCTTGGACCGCCTCATCGATCGAGATGTCGGAGTGGTAAGCCCCGAGGACCTCTGCGAGGCAGCGGGCTCTTGTCCGAGTATCGTCTCCTGAATTGACAGTTCCCATGTAGCACGAGTGCAGTAAGCGCGATACAATTTCCTGCGGTGTCTCAGGCATGAACGTCTTGTCACCGGTGACGCGTCTCAAATCATCCAACGTTGACATCTCTCCGGCCTCAATGGACTGAAGCACGAGTTTGGCCATGCTGTAGACGAAGAGCGCGACTGTCGAGGAGTCCAGACCACCACTCAAGGCGAGGAAGTAGCCAGGGGAGTTTGTGCGGCAGAGATACTGCCAGAGGAAGACCGCTTGAGCTAAGGCAATCTCTTCCATGGGGTCGAGGATCTTAAGCTCGATCTCCTTTGCGATTTGCAGGTGATCTGATAGATACACTTCGTCGGCGGGTCTCGTCAGTCGCAAATCGCAGTCGACCCTAGGGAAGTCGGGCTGGGCAGCAGCCTGCACGTTTCGCGAGATGCTGGAGCGATAGCTTCTGACTTCTTCCACGGAAATGGTGGCGGTGATGACTTCAACCGGCTTCAGAGAGAATTGTGAGGATTGTGCAAAGACCTTGCCATTGGCGAGCACCATGCTTGATCCGTCAAACTGGCTTTCGAGTTAGCTGCTGGTACTCATTTGCCAGAATTTTTGATAGCTACTTAGTGGAGACATACCAGCATGCGCGCCTCACCGTCGACGCCCGTCGCGTTGGCATATACGTAGATTCCACCAAGCTTCCGCGTCGAGTTCGAGATGAGATCGAGTCGTGTCTTTAACTTTCGCAGCTCAGCGTGGCTGGCACTGCTGTTGAGAATGATTTCGGCGCCATTGAGGCCGAGAAATGTCGAAGGGTTCAGGGGCGAGAACATTTCCTCGCAAGTCTCACAGCTCACGGCTGTGTCGAGCGTGCTTAGGATCAAGTCACCAATGGGGACTGTCTTTTGGCCGGTGACCGCGGCGGCCACGGCCTCTAGATAGTAGGTCTCGACCTCCCGGAGCTTCGTCCATGCCGTGAAGTGCCGCGCTTCACGATAGAGGCCATCGTTGGCCAGACTTTGCTGGTTGATGTGAGCTCAAGGGGTTCAGAAAGGGGTGATGGGACGGAAAGCGTACCTTTGGCCGGATGAGGTAGATGTGCTTGTATGTGCAGAGAACGCGGCAGTTATAACGGACGTTGCGATGGCGACATCCCATACCAAGATCAATCAGCATATCCTTACAGATGGGATCGCTGATGATCTCAGCAAGGACTTCCCAGCTGTGGAGGAAAGTATCACCTGGCAGGCTGTTAGCTCATACTCATACCTACAAGCAACTTCTCGCAAAGCTCGCCAAAATTTGGTTGTAAGTACCTTCAAGGTGGTGATCAAGACATCCATAGCCCGGAATCTCCAACTCTGGGCCGGTTCTGAGTGAAGCACCTTGGGCCTTGGCGATGCGAATGGACTCTAAGATCCTGTCGCGGTTTCCCTTGAAGTCCAAGGGGACACTGGGCAGGGTCGCCGCCGCGACGGTGACAAATGACATGGCAACGACGGATAGTCAGCCGGGTACGTCCCGATATGAGATGGCGGTCCCGGTCCGCAGATGGGATCCAGAGATGGAGCGCAGGAAAAGTGCGATTGGGTGGTTGCGGACTGTGGTAGCAGCCAAGGGTGAAAGTGATTGGTCGAAGGCAGTGTTGCTCGGGGACAAAGTTCACATCAAGCAAAGCAAACGCCCGGGGCGGGGTTCCGTGGCAGGAACCGGACACTGGACGGCACGGATGGAATGCTCATCCCATTGGCAGTAGAGGGGTACCGAGGGGCACAAGGTCGGGATGATGGAGTCACTAAAGTGATGACTAAGATGCGATGAGGGAGATAAGATAGCGGGGTTGATTTGACTGCGATAAGATAAGGCTTGTTATCGGTTGAAGCACACAAGCTGAGGTGTCTGCCCGTCTCTGGATGGACGACCCAAGGACTCCAAGCTCCCATCTTCCCAAACCATCTGCCCATGCATCCCTCCGCTCTCATCAGGCCCCGGGCCCTTCATCTCCGTGGCTCCGAGCTCAAGCTTTGAGCATTACTTCCATCAAGAGTTCGTGCTTCGTCTTCAACCATTTATGCCCGCGCGATGTATTGTTTGTATGTGATCTTTCGTTTGTAAAGGGCGACTCGTCGCTTGACGGTGTCGAGGTTTCGATGTAGTTGTCTGGGTAGGGAAGGTGTCTCGTTGTCGAATTCCGAGGGTTCGGCGCATGCTGTCTAGACTCTAGATACAAAGGCTGGAACCACCAAGCTCATCTTGCTTCGACCTACCATATGTGCGTTAGTAACGTTGTTAGGAGCCAGATGTTCTTCACATACACTCATTCGTCCTTTTCATAACTATTCATCTTCAATCTATCCGTATCTTCTTCAAACGGGGAACGCCGGGAGGGCGAGTGAGGTGACCGGTGATCACTAACGCGGATCGGAGTGGGACTGGAACGGACTGGCGACTATCCGTAAGGTAAAGTACCTAGGTGGGGGAGCGCAAATGGCTGGGGCATCCGCAACTGGCGTTGTGGGTCTTGCCGTGCCGCTAGTGCATCGCGTTCATGCTCGCTTCATGCTTGGGGGAGTCGATGTCTTCGGAACGGCGGATGGTCCATCTGAATCATTAGTAGAGGGGAATCTTGTATACTCACCGAATCATCCTAGGGTGAGGTCGCGAGGTAGTCAAAGAGTGCAGTACAGTACGTTTGGTTCTTTTCACATTAACGGTGGAATTCAAGTTGCTGTTCCGAGAGATATCTGGCGTGGCGTAGGACGGCTTTCAAGGCACCGGAAATGCGTTTCTCATCGGACAATCGGACAGGTGACGGGGGCGTACGAAAGTGGACATGGTCTTGCTGAGCGTGCTTGAGATGTGGAGTCTTCACGACGGGCGGAAGCGAAAGCGGGGAACGAGGAATGCCGGCAGGACGTGGAAAATTGTGAGAGAAAGCGAGAAACTGAAAGAGACACAGAAACGATGCGGGCGTGAACGTGGACGTGTGAAGCATGCGAGACGAGACGAAGTGAGACGCTAAGCTGGCGCGAGAATGTGGGGATCGTGACGACATGCTGCTACTGTACTGTTGCTTCGCCTAGCTGCAGTTGGAGTCGATATACGGGCAATGTGTTTGTGACTCTGCCAGAATCGGCTATGGGAGAAAACAGGTATAGAAAAACATGGAGCAGGTCATGGTGGGATGCTCTGGAGTAAGGAAACCGAACAACGAGGGATGAAAGCTCGAAGCAGAACAAAACACTGAATCAACGCAGACATCGTGCAATTCGTGGATGGGAAGAACTGTTTATAGAAATCGGTTGGAAAAGAGGATCTGTTGGGATCCGCGTGGCTTATATCGAAGGTGGGATCATCGAGAATGGAGGGGGCAAAGGGACCAAGACGAAGCATGAGGAGGGTGGTGTGAGCACTCGATCGCCCGCTGGAAGTTGTGTCACTGTGTCACAGTGAGGAAATAGTCAAACTCTGGCGAGTGAGGGCAGGCCGTCGATTCGTTGCTAGCAGAAGCCCCATCAAAGCATATTCACGAGACCAGCAAATCACCTCACTCATTTCAGATGTCGTCTGTCATCGCCCATCGGCAAAGGCTGTCTTGGGCGTCGCTAGCAAACCATTTTCCCAATTTACCTACTCTCGAACGCACTTCAGGTTGCCGTCGTGCTGTCTTACTGTCGGCAGGTTGGGGGGTGATGAATCAGGTGAGGGATGGGCTGTTATGTGGTACCACCGTATCCATACTGCGTATACTGAACGGCGACCCCACCGCGGAAAACCGGTTCGCTTGGCTCATTTTCGCAGCGACG